CACACACACACACACACACACACACACACACAGCAGAAAGAGTTATACTCGTAATGAGTTATACAAAGTGCAGAAAAGCAAGAGTTCTAATCCAAATACTAGTAGTCGTGATAGTTAGAAAACAGTGAAATTTTGTTGAAACGTTTCGGTGGGTTTTGTAAAGGAGATGTTAGCATTGTAGAAGTTTCCGAGCATCTTACGTTAAAAGCTTATATGCGATGAAATTAAGGAAATAAAAGGCAAAGATGGAAGACCATAATTAATTGAAGGCCTCGAACACTTTTGCCCTAATTCTTCTTGTGAAATTTGTTTGTTTTAAATGCAAACAGAATCAAATGACGATAGAGGTTCCTTTTTCTTGATTGATTCTTCAATCTTTTTCAGAAACACTTACCTGCAAAATTTAATTGTTACACATAAAAATGTAAAATGTACTTAGAAACAATACAAGAAACATGTCATACCTTTTATGCATGTTTTCTAGTAATCTTCCATTCGTGGACGATGTTGTTGCTTCGAACCTTTGTGTCTTTCTTAGTGTTCTCCGGAAGAAAGAATATTTTGTGAACGTCGAACTCAAGTTCTCAAAAACAAACACAAGACAACGAAAGAAGAATAATCGAGCCAAATTTTTTGTTCTTTATGTCTCTCTCGATTCCTGAGCGACATATACTCTTGTGGTGGTTGATGCCCTTGTGGGTTGTTAGTACCCATTGGGTTGTATCTTGATCCCTATCTCTTGAATCCTTCAACTTAATCTTGTTTGTTTATGCAGTACAGTGAACATGTATATATTCTATATATTTTTACACCTCTTTTAATTAAAAATCACCTAGGAGACCTAATTCAATCTATATAATATAATTTTGAAATGATTCAAACTTAGGTTTCAACGAACTCTGGAGTATTGACTTACCAGATTATAGTCAATTAAATTTGGTGCATGCCACTAGAGGCGCTTAAGGTTGCATTCTACAACACTATAGTAACTACTCAAATGATTATACTAATAGCTCTCCCTAGTCAATGAATTGCTTCCAATTTCTTTATTGAAATTGTAAACAAGTGAAGAATACCTTTTAATCAAAGTAGCTATACTCAAGTATGCATTTCAACTCACGTGCCTTTTCAATGAGCAAATAACCCAACCTTTGGAACTTACTACAATCCAGTTGTAGAAAGTCAAGTTCTCGTATCATTGATTAAGAGTGTGAACTCTATCCTGCATAAGTAATCGAAGTTGAACGCATTGATCGTTTTGCGCTTCAAATTATAAAATCTATCTTTAAACCTGAAAGACAAAGGTCACACAATATTAAACTGAGAAGCAAGCAAATCCAAAACGGTCTAAAGTAAAAAGTGCAGAAAATTAAAGATTTAACACAATATTTCTTTCGGCCTAAGCCTCAGAGGTTCGGCAACCACTTCAAACGTCTACATCCCCCATTGAGCATCCAATGAATTGGATTATGCTTGGTTGCACTATAATAGCCAAAAATTGGCAACGAAGGGTTACAGATGTTCAACAAATACAAGGAGATAAAGCAACGGCACTTTTCTCTCAAGATCAACCCAAACACCTTCAAAGAATCACAAAGAATCTCTGCTTCACTCTCAAAACATCACAACTCAAGAGAACACATGATTTTACAGATAATCACTCAGAATATCTAACCATATCACTAGGATTTAAACGTTTAAGGCCTCAAATCAGAGATTTGAGCCAGAGAATCAAAACCAGATGAAACCCTAACTGGACAAGAGCTTTTTCTATCTCATAAAACCAAGAGTCATACGCGTTAATGAGAGTCAATCGAGTGCCAAGTGAAACAACACAAATAATAGAAGGTTCCAGATTCAATCCAACAGTCCAAGTCAAGCCACGTGTCTCCATCCAGTTAAAAGTGTCAATATAATAAAGTTGCAATTCATAAAACACGACTTTCCAGTATCTTAAAATTCTAGAAGCATATAACCAAGGTTCGAGTCTCACAAAACCTAAGTATAATTCAATACTATACAATGTATTGAATTACTCAGCATAGATCAAATATATGTTTCCCTGTTTATATCTACCACAGTTTTCAAATAATAATGTATTAATTATTAATATCTCATTCAGTAACAGTTTCAAGAACGCCGAATATTAATAATTCTTAATGCTTAAGCATTCAAGAATCGAGTCGTAAAACGCGAGTGTAACATCCAGTGGCTTTGTTGTAATATAGGGTAATTAACTCAACATGATTGCTAGCATGATGAAAAAGAAAAAGAAAAAGATACAGATGCTAAAATTTTTTATACCCCCCTAAAGTGCATCAAATATATTCAACGCCGTTATTGCATATGATGACACCAAATCTTGCTTGATTTGGGAATAATCAAAAGCCATGCAATTTTATTATTTTTCAATTTTCATATACAA